GTAGTAGTAGTAGTAGTAGTAGTAGTAGTAGTAGTAGTAGTAGTAGTAGTAGTAGTAGTAGTAGTACTAGTACTAGTACTAGTAGTACTAGTAGTACTAGTAGTACTAGTACTAATAATACTAGTAATCGTATGTTTGGGTGGCGCCGATCGCCCACCGGCGCAGCCTGCGCGCCGTCCGACGCACGTCCCGAACATCATCGGCGGAGGGCAGGAGCGGCAGGCGCGGGTGGCGGCGGTCGGAAGCGGGCGGAGCGGCGAGTCGAGGCCCGAGGATCGAGGAGGGGAGGCTGTGGGATCCGAGGGGGGGGAAGCCGACGGTCGAGGGGGTAGGATCGAGAAGGGAGGATCGAGGTCTGATGATCTAGGAGGGAGGATCTGGAATCGGGGGGTGGTGGGACCGACGATCGAGGGGGGGACGACAGAGGAGGGGGATGGCGGCCCGAGGATCGAGGAGGGAGCAGCGAGGATCGAGGGGGGAGAAACGAGAACGGATGATAGGTAGTGTGTGGGCGTGTAGGTGTTGTATTAAGTCCGCTGGTCCGCCGACCCCCGCTTGCCAGGGGCGAGAAGGCGCGTCGGATGATTGGCTGTTCCCCCTCCCCCTTCCCCCTCCCCCAGTGTCCAAAATCCAATTGCAGGGGGGGAGGGGGGTGGGGGAGGGGCGGGGGGAGGGGCGGGGTGATCAGGGCTGCTCCGCGCACCCCTGGAGATTCCGGAGCTTCCAAATGTGCCGTCCGTGACCTCGAAGACGTTCCAAGACGGTCACGGATCGCGGAACGACTGGCCCAAGACAAGTGCGATGGATCCAAGACGCCCCATGACGGCTTCGAGGCGCCTCAAGAGCCTTCCCAAGAGGACCCCGACAGGCAGAATTCAATGGTTCTCTGGTGCTTTTTCATTGATTCTTGGATTTGCGTCGCGAGCTTCCGACGCTCCAAGCATTCTGGTGCGTGATGCTATGTGCGAATGCGCGGTTCAAGATATGCGTTGCAAGCGATGTGGTACCAACTATTCGGGAGCGGCCAAGAGGGGGGTGTCCAAGCGGGGGGTGCAAATAATGACCAGGGGCACGTGCGCGGCCCAGCGGGGGGGGCCAGGGACGCAATGAAAATAAGCAGAGGCGCCATACAATCTAGGGAAATATCATGGCCCCTGCCATGACATCTCCCCCCCCCCCCCTGGGCATCACCTCCCCCTTTGTGCCGCCCCCGAACTATGGAATGCAAGCTGTGTGGTGCCGGCCAGGTGGCGCAGTCTGTGCGGTGCACCCCGGACGTCCATTCCCTGTGTTTTTTCCGGTTTCGTGCGTGTTTTTTTCGCCAAGTGATCAAGGATTCTCCTCGATGGTCCTCGCCGAAAGAAAAAAGCACACGTCCGAGCGATGCCAAGCACGGGGCGCCCAGGGAAGGCACCCACGGGCGGGCACCTCGCGCAAAACCCCACCACACCCTTCAAGCCCACGGGGCGGGCGCCTGCGAGGCGCACGCGGGCGGCCACCAACAGAGGCACCAGGCGAAGCCCTGCACACAGATCGTGGCATGAAGAGCCCCTGCGTGCAGACAGTGCTTTCCCCGTCGCTCGGACGTCCATTCCCTGTGTTTCTTTCGGGTGTCGTGCGTGGTTTTTTCACAAGATGATCCAGGATGCTCCGTAATAATCCCCGCCGAGAGACAGTGCACACGTCCGAGCGATGCCAAGTGCCTGGGGGAACGCAGATCCCTGGCATCCCCCGATACGTTTTTCCCCATCCGCGGCCCCACGCCCCGACCGCTTGACCAGGGCACTCTTTTTTGCCCCAGAGCCGTTTTTGATGGCCTTAGGGCCCGATAACAGGCCCCAGCAGCCGAAAACGAAACAAATACATCCAAATGGGAAATAAACACACCGTCAGAGATCAGGGCAATAACCCCTCAGTGCAAGCACTGTCTTGGGAAGAGCGGTGTTCGACTCTTCTTGGGCTGTCGCAGGCCCCTGGGGATACTCGCGAGGATGTCTGGGGGCCTCATTTGCCTGGCCGCCGCGGCACCGAGCCAGTTCCTCCCAGTCTTCCCCGAGAGAAACAAGGAGGAGGAGGAGGAGGAGGAGGACGAGGAGGAGGACGAGGAGGAGACAGGAGGAGGACGAGGAGGAGACAGGAGGAGCTGTGGGACCTGGGGGACCTCTGTGGGACCTGCGAGACATGCGACACCTCTGGGACCTGCGGGACCTGTGGGACAAGTGGGGAATGCGAGACCTGCGACACCTGCGGGACCTGTGGAACCTGTCAGACTGGTGGCACCTGTGGAACATGTGGGACGACCTGCGACACTTCTGGGTCCTGTAGGACCTGTGGGACCTGCGGAGCCTTCGGGGCCTGCGAGAACTGCGAGACCTGCGGGATCCAGAAAAGTGGCCCACGCTGGGGCCGCAGCGCCATTCTGAACGACGGGAACACAGCGCCGCTGCAGCTAGAGCGCCATTTTTGAAAAACTGAAAATAATCGACTTCTGACAAAAAAAACAAATGAAAAGCCAGTTCGTGCAAATCCAATGAAAAAAGCAAGACGCGGAGGGGGGGCGAACAACAGCAGCACATACTCGGGAGAGAGAGGAGAGTGTTATGCATGTTCTGCAAATCTGAGGAGAAGAAAGGAGACGGAGCAGGAGGAGGAGGAGGAGGAGGACAGAGGAGAGCGGAGAGATGATGAGGAGATTTTGTTCGGTTCCATTCGGTTCGGGCCCCACGGGTGTCTTTGTCGAAGAAGTGGTGCACTCGACACCTGGGGGAGGAAGAGGAGGCGGAGGAGGAGGAGGAGGAGGAGGAGGAGGAGGAGGAAAAAACAAATTTACAAGACATGGATGCGTCAGCTTGTCACCCGCCAAGGCCCTGAAGACGATGAGTCACGGCGGGACCCTCCCAGGCTCACATGAAAGATCTGGCGGTGGTGCCGGGTGCCAGACGCACTCCCTGGTAGCGCACTCCCTGGTGGTGGTGCCAGGTGTCGGGAGGAGGAGGAGGAGGAGGAGGAGGAGGAGAAGGAGGAGGGGGAGGAGGAGGAGGAGGAGGAGGAGAAGGAAAAGAGATTGCTCGACAAACTCCAATGACATCCGCGTCCGGCGTCAAGGAGAAGGAGGGAAGAGGAGGAGAAGAGCAAGAAGATACTAATCTATATAATGGGAGACGCGTATGAAAGCAGCCCCACCTCTGATCCGAGATCGTTTCATACGGCGTGCCTAGGCAATAAAGCGAGGAGGGAGCCTTCCAGCCCTCCCATAGGAGTGCGGGGATGAAAGCTAGAGACGTGGGTGGGGCTGGATGACGGCGACGGCGCAGATCACGAGGGTGCACATGTGCTGTTTCAAGACACCCCGCAACTGTGCTACGCTCTGCTACTGGTGCAGTGTTTGCGGGGCATCTGTACGGAGTTGTCGACCCGAAAAAGATGATGGCGGTGAGAATCTGCACGACCCCTTTGAGCCGGGCAAAAGAAACAGCCATCTCGCGATGCCTGCTTTTGAGGAGCAACCTGGGGCCTCCCTTCCCACAGCAGCAACAACTCTGACATCGACCTCCCCCTCTCTTGGCGGCGGGGGGGTCTGAGCTGGATCTCGCCATCGCTCGGACGTCCATTCCCTGTGTTTTTTTTAGGTTTCGTGCGTGGTTTTTCGCCAAACGATCAAGGATGCTCCTCGATGGTCCTCGCCGAAGGAAACATGCACACGTTCGAGCGATGCCAAGGGATAAGCGCAGCAAGGACCGGCCGATGAAGGCAAACCCGCTCAGCATCCATTGCGAGACTCCTCCCCGGGGTCGAAACTGACAAGTTTTTCGAGCCGCGTCCCGCCGTGGCGACGAGGGGGCCCTCTGCTCCCCCCCTTCCCTGCTGGCCAGAAGCAGGGCTGAGCCTAAGCCGTTTTTTTCGTTTTCGCTTTGATTTCGCTTTCCCTCGTTTTGTCTTCAATCCGCTTTTAACGCAAAACGGAATCGAACCGAAAACGGCCCAAGAGATCGCCAAAACACCGTTTGGGTCCACCCCTGGCCAGAAGCAAGGCTGCGCCACCTCAGCCCCCCAGCCGGCTCCAACTCCTCTTCCCCCGCCCACGCACTAGGGTTAGGTCGGGCGTGTCCTCCTACAGGCGGACTTTGGACCAAATGACAAAAATAGCCAAACATAGTTGATAATGGTGACGAGCTACTAGAAACATCGTCTTCAGACTATATTGTAAACATGTTTGATTCTGCCTCCTGTCGAGGGACGCGCCCGACGTAACACCAGCGGACACGGGCTCAAAACGCGGGCAGGCCACGGGAGGAGGAGGAGGAGGAGGAGGAGGAGAAGGAGGAGGAGGAGGCGGAGGAGGAGGAGGAGGAGGAGGAGGAGGGGGAGGAGGAGGAGGAGGAGGCCCTGCACGCCGCAGGCAGGCGGGACGGCCCTGCCCCGCAAGCCCTGGGCGTGCCGTGGGCGCCCCTGCTGGAGCCTTCGGGAGGCCCCGGAATACGACCGGCCCCCCACGCAGAGAAAGTCAGCCGCGGCCTGCGCGGGCGAGGACAGGAGAGAGGGTCGGGAATGGATAGACCTCCTTTAGTAAAACGTGGTTTAGTGAAAACGACCTCGGGCCCAAACCTGGCGGGCTCAAGCCTGGAAAATGACGGCCGCGGCGCCCTCTCGAGAACCGAAAACGGACAATTCACTAATCGATGTGTCAGGGTAGGAGGTCTGTCCAAACCCGAGAGGGGGCGGCGGAGGAGGGAGTGATCTGGTCTCGAAGGGGGACTCCACAAGAGCCTGGCCCCCAGAGCTGCTGCCACCTGCCAGGGATCTCCGATGCGAAAGGATAGGATGACCATGACCAAGACTGAACGCTGAAATGTCGGTGATCCGGGTCATCGTCGATTCGTGGGTGATCCTCGCGAGTGGGCAACGGCTGGCATTGACTGTGACCAAGATCGGCGTCGACAAGATCATGCGACATCTTGGTCATGGTCAGCGTGATTCTTTCGTCGAGATCGCTGCCTCTCTCAGGGCATCGGAGTCAGCGTCGAGCTTGAGCTGTCGTACCTGGAAGAACAACAACAACACAAGCATAAACCTTCGGAGGTCCGCTCGGATCTCTTGGACCTGCGGTGGAGCGCACCAGGCTGGAGGCGCCGCCAGGGGGTCCAGCGCAAATCCATGGAATCCTCGCGGAGCTCCGAGAAATTGTATTTTTGCAACTGTTTGCTCGAGGCCTCCTAGATGGGGTCTGAGTAGATGGGGTCGAAGGATCGCGCCGCATCGCCAATGCGTCGCCGATGTATCGGCGATGCATCGGCGACGTCGGCAATGCATCGGCGACGTCGGCGTGGCGAAACACGGGCTCCGCATCGAGCCACATCGTCGATGCATCGGCGATGTGGCGCGATCCTCCGACCCCACCTGCTCGGAGACCCATCCGGGAGGCTCAGACATTTCTCCTCTTCGAGCACCAGAGCTGCATCTCGGCCCCGGGGGCTACACCTGCGTCGGGCGACGCCAGCTGTACACCAGCACTGGCCCTCCTGGCCAAGCTCAGGCCCTGTTGGAGGCCTGGAAATGAGCACCGACAGCAACACAGGCGTTTGCCTCCACAGGGGGAAGAGGATCCCATATTTTCGGTGTCGGTGGTGATCTTTCGGCCACCGTGGAAGCCAGAACACTAACTACCACCATCGCCGAGATCGGGATCTTCTTCCCTCGGTGTTGGTGTCCACCTCGAGGCCTGCGAGCCCTGGGGCGCCAAGGGCCCGCGCACGCGCCGCCGCGGCTCCTGCCACGACGGCCCTGCGCGCCAGCCCTGGGCCTCTGGGCCTGGCCCGTGCAGAGGACCGGTGCCGACGCCTGCGCAGATCTCCGAGGACGCGCCACCGCTCGGGCGTCCACTCCCCGTGCACGTGCTGCCCTATCCGCCGCCTGCGAACCGACGTCCTTGTGCCCCAACGGGCGGTGGATGTGGATAGATTTCGGCCCCGGGCGGCCCGAGCATGTCCACATCCACCGCCTGCCGAGGCTCCGAAAACTGGCCCTCCAGGCGGTGGTCGTGTATAAATTCCCGCCTCGGATGTGTCAGCTTCGTGGGTGTGTGTTTCGCAAGATGGCCCCAAACTGCTCCTCGATGGTCCTCGCGGAGGTGGTTGAGCCCTGCAGGCGATTCCCTCCCCTGCTCCCCGCCAGACCTGGGCTCGGGGGAGGGAGGAGGAGGAGGAGGAGGCGGAGGAAGAGGAGGAGGAGGAAGAGGAGGAGGAGGAGGAGGAGGAGGAGGAGGAGGAGGAGGAGGGAGGGAAGAGCTGGAGGGCCATGCAAACCGCGCACGTCCGAGCGATGCCGAGCGCATGCTCAGAGCTCCGAGGATGCGAGCTGTTCCATCCGGAGTCTCCCGCGACTTTTCGGCCTCCAAGGCCTGTCCAATGGGCCCCAGGGTCACCGAGCCTGGATCTCCGGGGCGAGAAGCTGCACTTGGGGAAGGCTTTGAGCAGGGACCGACCGTCCTGGCATTCCTATAGGCCTGCCACGAAATGTTCTCAGGGCCCACAAATGTTCTAGGGACAAAAGCACTGTTCTCAGAACAAAAACCGGATGTGATAACACAAAACAAACTCCGCCAGAAATGGAGCTCATGGGGCCGCAGGTTGGGCAACGATCAAACTGGAAGGGTAGCTGGCGCCCCCGACCACCCTCTGGCATCTCGAAGGTGACCTGGCCGACGCCGGGCACCTCCACGCCCATGTGGGTTCCAGGCCCCACGCCTAGAGTTAGGTCGGGCATGTCTCCCTATAGGCGGATTTTGGACGAAACATCCAAAATAGCCGAAACATACGCCAAAAACGCTCAACAACATCAACACATCTCGTCCCCAGACTATTTTCAAACATCCTCCTGTAGAGGGACAGGCCCGATTTAAGCCTCTAGAGAAAGCAGAAACGGCATGAGCACCAACCGTCGGAGCTTCGCGCAGACTTCCCGGATCAGAGCCCCCGGCGCGCCTCTGGCGCGTCGGGGGGCAGCGCCAGAGGCGCCGCCAGGGGAGCCCCGCGTAGGTCCCAGACGAAAGAAGCACGCCATGACCGTACATGCCAGTCGGAAGAAGTGGGTAAGAAAATGAAGTAAGAAGGCGGATTAAGTTGATTGGGTCCAGGCCCCCACAGGGAGTAACAAAACACAGCAAAAGCGTGTCGATTCTTGGGATCTGGGCATACCAAAATACCTACTTTCAACGACCGGCGTGTAACTAAACTTGTGGCGCTCCGCGCGGAGTTCTCGCATCCGCGCCGGACCCCCCTCCCTGGCGCGCGGAGCGCGCCGGGGGCGGGGCCAGAGGCGCCGCTGGGGGGGGGCCCAGCGCGGATCCGGGAAATCCGCGCGGAGCGCCAACAATTTCTGCTTGTGGCGTTTCCTCGTCTGCGAGATCCAAGAGATCACCGCGGACCTCCGACAATGTCTTCTTCTTCGAACGCCGCACACTTCTTCTTCTTCTTCTTCTTCGAGCGCCGCACACTTCTTCTGCGAGCGCCGCACACTTTTTCTTCTTCTTCCTCGAACGCCGCACACTTCTTATTATTCTTCTTATTCTTCTTCTTCTTCTTCTTCTTCTTTCTTCGAGCGCCACACGCTGTGCTCATGCCGAAAGCTTCTTCTCCTCCTCCGAGCGCCGTCGGGGACGACGATCTGCAGCACGAGGCCCTCGTCCTCCGCCAGCGCCTCCCTCGGCGGAGCGCTGGGCTCGTCGCCTGGCGCTTGCGCCATCGCTCGGGCGCCCGCTCCCCGTGAGATTTTTTGTTCGCCTGCGCGCGAGGGAGGAGGAGGGAGGAGGAGGAGGAGGAGGAGGAGGAGGAGGAGGAGGAGGAGGAGGAGGAGGAGCGCGGATACGGTGGGGGCATTGGGTAAGGAATCCGTCGGTAAGGAATCCAGGTTCTGGAAGCCCGCGGAGCTCCAATCGTGGATTGGCCCTGGGCATCACCGCCGCCCTTATCAGATAGGAAACCCTCCAGGGTCTGAAGCCTCCTGGGCCTATTCCTTAGCAAACGCCTCCACCGTACTTTTCGCAAGACGATCCAGCATGCCCCTCGATGGTCCACCGAGCAGTTTCTTCGGGCAGAAGGCTCAGGGTGAAATCCATCTGGGCTTGTGCACCTCGAAGACCAATCCGTCTCGTGGTTCACGTTCTGCAGGTTCGAGCCTCGAGAACCAATGGGGACGGCACTTCAGATTTCACCCTTTGCCCTCCACCCAAAGAGAATGCTCGGGCCCCCTCCGACGAAAAAGCGCATACGTCCGAGCGATGCCGACTGGGGCGCCTGCTGCGCTGGGCGGCGCAGCCGCCAGGGCCTGTGCCGCAGAGGCGGCGGGCGGCGGAGGTGCGGCCGACCTCGGCGCCGCCTGCAGGAGGAAGAGGAGGAGGAGGAGGAAGAGGAGGAGGAGGAGGAGGAAGGGGGAGGAGGAGGAGGAGGAGGAGGAGGAGGAGGAGGAGGAGGAGGAGGAGGAGGAGGAGGAGGAGGACAGAGGGCGCCAGCTGAGCACCTGCACCGATCCTGGCCGGGCCCACCGGGGGTCCGGGATCGGTGAACACGCGCTCCTGCCGTGGCCTAGAAGGCACCTGCGCCCCTGCTTGGAGTTAAGAGCACTTTGCGCTAATAGCATGGACTTCGATCCAAGCGTTTCCTTAGACGGTGGTCCAGGTCTAGATATACGAGCCCTCTACGAAGAGAAGCTGCCAGAAAACGCCCGAGGTCCAGTCTAGATTCTTGACTTTCTTGGGCGAAATCTGGAGTCCACGAGGTTGTAGGCTTTTTTTTCTGAAGAGTTCTGATCGCCTACAGAATTGATTTAGCCAAATGATTTGTTCGCCGAATCTGCGAACGAGTGCGTAGAATCTTCGTGGATCTGCGGAGACAAGGATTTTTTGCAGATTCGACGAGAAATTCAATTTTGGGGTAACTCAGTGCTGTAGTCGACTCCTGCTCGAGATGTGTACGCACTCCTGCCGTGGCAAAGGAGGCATATCTAGACCAGACCTGGGCACAGGATGGGCCTGGTCAGGATCGGCGCACTTGCATCACTGGCGCCGCCCAAGCCTGGAGGACAACGCGCCCGTCCTCGAGGAAGTCCCGCAGCGGCCGGATCCAGGGACCCCGCGCGAGGGGGTCCTGGACGGCCCTCTGCAGCCACACCTCCAGGCCCCGCCTCCGGTCCTCCAGCTTCTGGCCCGAGAGCTCCACGAGGGCCCCCAGGATGTTCTTGGGGGGGAACGGGGCCCCCAGGAACCTTGAGGGGCAACGTCAGGGGGGGGGAATCGACCAGCTCAGGGGGGGGAACATCGGCCTGGCATCGGCGACGCGTTGCCACGAGATCGGCCACAGGCCCCCGATAGCAAATCCGCAAGGTCCTCGGCAGGGCGGGCTATCGGGCTCCCATCGGCGAGGAGTGGGCGATTGGGGGTCGATGCATCCCCCCCGAGTCTGTCCCCCTCGAACGTTGCCCCCGAAACCTCGTCGATGCAGGCGACAACCGCGAGCAGAGATTGTTGAACTCCCTGTAACGCCGCATGACCCTCCACGGCGGCCCCTGCTCCGGCGTCACGACGACCGCGAAATAGATCGTCCCGCCGCGCACCTCCGTCCCGCTGTCGGGGAGCGACACGTGCGCGACGCTCAAGGGCTGCTCCGCCTTGCCCTTGCCCTTGTCGGGTGTTGCTAGAAGTAGCCCTGGCCCAAGGTGCCCCCAGCTTTTTTCGCTCCATTTTGGAGCCCCTGGGGCCCTCTGGGCCTCGTGAGGGGCGCTTTGGAGGTCGTTTGGGCCACCCCGAGAATCCTGGGGGTACCTTGGGCCAGGGGTGCTTCTAGGAACACCCGACCTTGCCCTTCCACCACCGCGGCGCCGGAGCCACGACCACCGGCACTGCCTGGACGGGCTGGGCTGGCGCTGGCTGCGCGTACACGGGCACGGGCTGTGCCTGCACGACGACCACGGGCGCCGTTCGGCGGGGGGGCGGCCTGCCGACGACGGCAGCCGTGACGCCGCCCACCACGGCGGCCTCGGCCGCCACTGCCACCAGTCGGGGGCGGTGGGGGTGATGGTGGTGGGGATGGCCCTTGCCCTTTCCCCAGCCCATGCGTGCTCGTGGGGCGAGCGCTGCGGTGCCAGCTGTGCGCAACGAGCAGGTGGTCGCGCAACGGGCGCAGACGTGTTGTACTGCCCAGTCCCCTGCTGAGGCCTGGCTTGATCCAACATTGCAGGACACCAACGCTGAGCCGTCGCAGCAGCGCCTTCTGCAGCCCCACCTCCGCCCCGACATGAAGCCCCGCATGGACGAAAGACGAAGCGTCGAAGGGCGAGCGGACCGCGTCAGCACTTCTTCAAAGGCCTCGAAAATGGAGTACAAAATGGGGTCAGAGGATCGCGACGCATCGTCGCTGCATCACCCATGCACTGGTGATTCATCGGCGATGAACTGGTGGCGTCGGCGTGCAGAACATCGGGCTCCACATCGAGTCGCATTGCCGATGCATCGGCGATGCGGCGCGATCCTCCATCGACCTCGTCTGCTCTGACCCCATCTGGAAGGCCTACATCTCTAGGGCGGTACGGAGAAGGAAACTAGAGACGAGGGAGAGAAGAATGCAGGAAACAATGTTTGAACACTCCCCCTGTAGAGGGACAGGTTACCAGCCTGGAACACATCCCTATCCCAATGCTGGGCACCTCCTCATCACGATGCCAATCTTTGGGATTCCCCTATTTTTCGAGGGCGGATCCCTAAGATTGGCATCGCCTTTTGGCGCGTCAATCTTAGGGATAGGGACACGTTGGAGGCCGGTAAACAGGCCCGACTGAAAGGCAGGCGCCGCGCGACCCGAGCTGCGAGGGATCGGCCGGGCGGCGCCGGAGGGGCAGGGCGGCGGAGCAGAGGCGCCGGGCGACCTCCGCGCGCGGGTCCCTGCGGCGAGTGCCGATTCTGCTCGCCCTGCCTCGCTTTTGAAGGGGAACTGGGACACACACAAACAAGTGCACGCAAAAGAAAGGATTCCCCATATCTTTCCTATATTTTCTGGGTTTCTGTCTTCCCCCCCCACTTCCCACATGTTCCTACATTTTCTCTGGAATCGACGATTCATTGTGTCTGTGTGTTTTTCCCCCTCCTGAAGTGAGAAGGAGAAGGAACTCTCAGAAGGCGGCGGGACTTCTCAGAAACCGGGGCCAAAGTAGATGGATCGGAGGATCGCGCCGCATCCTCGATGCATCACCAGTGCACCAGCGACCTCCAAGATGAGGAGAATCGGGCTCCCGACCGCGCGGCATCGCCAATGCATCGGCGATGCGGTGCGATCCTCCGACGCCATCTGCTCCGACGCCGTGTGGGTGGCCCGGTGTGGCCAGGAACGCTTTCTTCCAGCTTGCAACGACACGGCGGCGCGCAGACGGGTCATCTTTGTCTTTTTCTTCCTCTTCGTTCGTCTTCGTCGTCGTCGTCGTCTTTGACTCTTTCGCTTGCCTCGGGCGACTCTGACCTTCTGGAATGCTGAACTGCCCGCCCCACCTGCAAGGGCTGCCAAAAAACCTCGCCAAGAGGCGACACTTTCTCACAGGCAGGGGGCTCTGGATCTCCCATGACGGGGTCGGGAGGCCTGCAAGCCTTCTGAAAGGTAAGAAGAAACCACGAGGATGACACATCCGGAATATACATCGCGAATCTCTGAGAACCGGCGGGCCTGGAGGACGCGTCGGGCGCCGCGACCGTCCCACAGCGAGCCCGGAACGTCCGGGGCCTGCCCGAAGAAGGCAGACAGAAAATAGCCGGGTTGGGAGGATGGGGTCGGGCGAGATGATCAGATCGTCCGTGTTATCGCATGTGTCGAGCGTGTTTGTTGCACGGTCGTACTCCGTATCCTCCGTATCCTCCGATCAGTGTCGGCGGTGGACAAGCCTCCTTTTAGTAAACCACCCTTCAGTGATACGACCTGAAACCGAAACCGACAGACTTGGGCCCGCAAAAATCACTGCTGCGACGCCCTCCTGCGAGCCGACAACGGCCAATTCGCTAATCGACGTGTCAGGGAAGGAGGTCTACAGTCGAAACGTTCTCATAAGGAACCCCAACGAAGGAACGAGGCTCCTTTTTTCCAGAAGTTAAACTTCGATCTCGCTTAGAACGCCTGAGGAGAACCTAAAACAAGCGGTGAAGAACTTAAGGAGCACTGCGCCCCTCCCCAGCGAAAAGGGTTCCTTCTTCAGCGGCCGGACTGCATCCACCCCCGAGGGAACGCAGCCCCCCCACCCTCGCATCAGCGCCGCGTGCGCGCCAGGCCGAGGCGAGGGCGGCAGAGGCGGGCGGGGCGTGCAGCGGGGGGGGAAGAGCACCCACGGCGCCAGCGGGCCGATCTGCCCAGCAGGGCTGCACCTGAACACTGCTCTTCGCTTTGATCTCGCTCTGTTTTCGTTCTGCTCCACATGTGTTCCTGCCCCTCCCTGCCAAGGCGCAGAACAAAAACACGGCCGAAGTCCAGCAGAACAGCGTTTATAGGTCCGGCCCTGCTGCCCAGTCCTGGCGCTCTCTCCTCTGCCTTGGCCTCCAAGGTGGCGAGCCTCGGGCCAAGGGGGGGGGCCCTCAGAAAACGATCCGGCACCAGAGCGCTGACACCCAGGAGGAGGAGGAGGAGCAGGAGGAGGAGGAGGAGGAGGAGGAGGAGGAGAGGAATGAGGAGGAAGAGGAGCAGGAGGAGGAAGAGCAGGGGAAGGAGGAAGAGGAGGAGGAGGATGAGGAGGAGGAGGAGGAGGAGGAGGAGGAGGAGGACGAGTGGAGGGGTCGGAAGCTCTGAGGGGCGCCCCATCGTGCTCTGGGCCTGCCCGAGAAAGGCGGGCCCCCCCAGCTGCATCAGCACCTCGGGGTCGACGCCTCGGGGGCTCTCTCGCGTCTGGTCGGCGGTGGACAAACCTCCTTTTAGTAACCCTCCCTTCAATGAAAGCGGCCTGGGACCGAAGCCGACGGACCTGGACCCGCAGAACTGACGGCCGCGACGCCCTCTCGCGAACCGCAAACGGCCAATTCGCTAACCGACGTGTCAGGGTAGGAGGTCTGTCCACCTCCGACGCACCAGCACCTCGGGTTCGACGCCTCGGGGGCTCTCTCGCGTCTGGGGGCTTGGCGGCGGAAGCCCGGGCGGAGGAGGCCCGGGTCCTCTGGCTTCGCGCCTCGAGCTGTGCTGAGGGGCGGTTGCCCGGCGGCTGGCGGACAGTCGCGGGCGCCCAGAGGCCACGAGAAAAGGCGCTCGTCCTCCTCTAGGGGAGCAAAAAATGGCATAAACACAAAAACTCGGAGGTCCGCGCGGATTCCTCGGATCGGCGCTGGGGCCCCCTGGCGGTGCCTCCGGCGCCGCCCCTGGCGCGCTCCGCGCGCCAGGGAGGGGGGTCCAGCGCCGATGCGAGAAATCCGCGCGGACCTCCGAGTTTTTATGTTCAAGCCACTTTTTGTTCCCCTATCCTCGCCTGGCGCCTGAGGAGCAGGAGGCAAGGAGGAGGACGAGGGGGCGGCCTGATGGCCCAGGCGAGCCAGGCGAGCCCAGAGGGCCCGCACCGCCTTGGCCCCGAGGCGTGGAGGCTGTGGGGAGACTCTTAGACGCTCGCTGGAGCAGGAGGTGCCCCCTGGGCTCCCCGCAGGTCGTCGTCTGTTGGGAGCCATCGATTTGGTCGGGAGCGGCCAAGAGGGGGGGGTCCAAGAGAGGGGGGGGGTGCAAATCATGACCGGCGGCATGTGCACGGCCCAGCGGGGGGGCCAGGGACGTGATGAAATAAGAACGGGCGCCATGACATCTGGGGAAATATCGTGGCCCCCGCCATGATATCCCCCCCTCCCCCTAGTCATCACCCCCCTCTTTGCCGCCCCCGATTTGGGAGCAGCTCGACACGTAGAGTCGCCCAGGGCCAGACCGTGACAAGACCCCGTCGAGATCGAGCGCCCCGCTCTCCAGCTTGCTGGGGGCGACGAGTCGTGCGGCATGCCGCTCCCCTTCCCTGTCCCTCTCCCCGGGGGTCCGAGTCATGCCTGAAGGCAGAGGCGCGCTCCTCAACACACACGCTCGGCCTTCAGAGCCCTCCGGGAAAGCCCACCTGTCCGGGAGGCTGATTCTTGCCGTCGCTCGGACGTCCACTTCCCGTGCATTTGTCGGTCTCGCGCGTGCTTTTTTCGCTCGATGGTCCAGGATGGTCCTCGATGGCTCTCGCCGAGAAAGACGCACACGCCCGAGCGATGCCAAGGATTTTGTGAGATCAGCATCAGATGAATAAGAATTAGCCCGACGATTCGCAGTCGGACTGTCCAGCAGAAGGCGGAGGAGGAGGAGGAGGAAGAGAGGAGGAGGAGGAGGAGGAGGAGGAGGCCTCCAGAGGTCTCAGAAAGACGCCCGAAAACCCAGACCTCCCAGACGTCCACGAACCCAAACCTCCGACGGCGCATGCGTCCGCGTCCCGGCTCCCCTGCGCTCCAGACCCCCCCTCTCGGGGACCGGCCCTTCACCCCGATCCGTGGTGTTTTGGCCGCCCCGGGGCCCCGCACCCGTCGGTCGGAAGGAATGGGCAGAAGCACGAGGTAGCAAGGCGTTGGAATAGAGGATCGCGTCGCATCGGCGATGCATCGGCGATGCCTCGGCGACGCCGACGATGCATCGGTTATGCGCCGCGATCCTCCGACCCAATCTGGGAGGCCTGCGCAGATGGAAGCAGATCGGGTCTCCGCTCACCCCCTGAAAGGAGGAGGGAAGCGGGAACCCGCTGGACTCTTGAAGAAGGAGGGCGCCCAAAGCAAACTGGGATCTGGATGCCCACAAATCCGCCGACCCTGTCTGCGTGTGCGAGGGGCTTCTCCGTTCGAGTCGTCGTCGCCGTCACCCGTGAATCGTTGCCTCGGTCGTCCTCTTTCCTTACGCCCTCCTTTCCTTGTGCCTGGAGGCCCCTAAACGGCCCCTCTGCTCCTCCTCCTCCTCCTCCTCCTCCTCCTCCTCCGCCTCCTCCTCCTCCGCCTCCTCCTCCTCTCCTGCTCTCCTCTCCTCCCCCTCCTCCTCCCTCCTCCTCCTCCTCTCCTCCTCCTCCTCCTCCTCCCCTCTCCTCCTCCTCCTCTCCTCCTCCTCCTCCTCCTCCTCCTCTCCTCCTCCTCCTCCTCCTCCTCCTCCTCCTCATCCTCCTCCTCCTCCTCCTCCTCCTCCTCCTCCTCCTCGTCTTCAGGGTTCTTTAGGGTCGGCGGCAGCGGCCGTAAGCCCTTCTCAATACTCACTTTCAGCGACCCTCCCCGTCCCTGCCCTGTGTTGTTTTCGGCTTCGTGCGTGATTTTTTGTTTTCGCAGGATGATCCAGGATGCTCCTTGATAATCCCCGCCGAGAAAAAGTGCACACGTCCGAGCGATACCACGTCAAACATAGTCAAACCATAGCCTGGGGACTATCGTTCTGGTATTTCCGAGCATTTGGCGAGCATTGTTTGCACATGTTTCATTTGTCGCCCCAAATCCCCCTGTAGGGGGGCGGGCCCGACCTAAGGTCAAGCTTTCGGATCAGAGCTCGGGCCTCCAGCGGCCAGGGGGGACGGCCAGGGTACGCCTGCAGCGCCCGAGGCGAGGCGCAGCTGCTGGAGAGCATCCCGAGGCTGGAGAGCCGCAGAAAGCGCGGGGGCCCAGAACTTACAGCCAACCCGTAAGTATCAAAAGGACGCGCGATGAGGATGCAAGTGCCCTGGAAGGCCGTGCCGAGACTTTCCAGGCGGGGCACGGCCAGCGAAAGTGGCCATAAGGGTGGGCCGACGGGGAAGGCTGCAAGGGTAACCTTGGAAGGGTGCGCATCCTCACTACCGAGACCCCCGACGTCATGATTTGTCCCAACCATCCTGTGGTGCCAGTCCTCGTTTCGAAGAGACAGCGCCCCGCGTTCCTCCTCTCCTCTCCTCTCCTCTCCTCTCCTCTCCTCTCCTCCTTCTCTCCTCGTCCTCTCATCCTCCTCCACCCTCCTTCCTCCTGCGCAGTTCGCATGCGTCTCTCCCACCCAGTACAGCGCTCCGTGGCCCCATAGGGAGCTCCACCGAAGGTCCCAGTGGCGCAGTTCGCATGCGTCCCCCCCACCCAGTACAGCGCTTCGTGGTACCAGAGGAAACTCCACCGAAGGTCCCAGTGGCGCAGTTCGCATGCGACCCCCCCGGCCAGTACAGCGCTTCGTGGCCCCATAGGAGCTCCACCAAAAGGCCCAGTGGCGCAGTTCGCATGCAACCCGCCCCCGCCCGGTACAGCGTTTCGTGGCCTCAGAGTCCCAGTGGCGCAGATCGCATGCCTCCCCCCCGCTCAGTACAGCGTTTCGTGGTACCAGAGGGAGCTCCGCCGCAGGTCCCAGTGGCGCAGTTCGCATACGTCCCCTCCGCCCAGTACAGCGTTTCGTGGCCGAGAGGGAGTTCCACGGAAGACGATACCCACAACTGCGGTACTCAGAACTGCATATGGTTGGGTTCATCGCTTGGCTAATTTCATGACGTCGACCCCCAGAAGTCTGGACCCACCCCCAAGACCGGTTTTTCGCCCTGAGTCGTTTTGCTGACGGTCCCGAGGCCTGGTGAAGGGCCTCTGGAGGCCGAACGTAGCGAGAGACCTCCCGTCGTGATTTCCTCTTGGCCCCAGGGGGTCTGGCTATGCGGGTGGCCTGCACGTCCTGGGTGCCTCCCCCACGCGAGGAGGCCAGGGCGTCCCTCGATCCCCGAGGGGAGGGGCCAGAAGAATGGGCCACGAGGGTGGGCCGAAGGGGAAGGATGCAAACGCAACCTTGGAACATTGCTCACCCCTCCTCCTCTTCCTCCTCCTTCTCCTCCTCCTCCCTTCCTCCTCCTCCTCCTCCTCCTCCCTCCTCCTCCTCCTCCTCCCTCCTCCTCCTCCTCTCCTCCTCTTCTCCCTCCTCCTCCTCCCTCCCCCTCCCCCTCCTCCCTCCTCCTCCCCTCCTCCTCCCTCCCCCTCACTCCTCCTCCCTCCTCCTCCTCCTCCTCCTCCTCCTCCTCCTCTTCCTCCTCCTCTCCCTCCTCGATGCTCGAGGGCTGGGGCAAGAAGCTCCTGCGCGGCGGGGCGGCCCGGGCTTCCGCGGCGGGGGGGGAGTGCCGCCTCCAGGCACTCCGCCAGCAGCGCGCGGATCCGCGCCGCGGCGGCCGCCGCCTCTCGCAGGCCCGCGAGAGGCCATCGACCGCGAGACGTGGCGGTCGTCGCCCCCCCCCCCCGACGTCCAGGCTGAACCTAAACGGTGTTTTTCGTGTTCGTTTTGTTTTCGTTTTCCCTCGCTTTTGTCGTCAATCCACCTCTACCGCAAAATCGACGTCGAAACGAAAACGGCCCAAGAAATCACCAAAAACACCGTGTAGGTCCACCCCTGGTCGTCGCCGCCCCCGACGTCGCAAGGGTTCTGTCACTGTTCGGTCACAGCATGAGTTCTCCCTACTTCGGGCTCTTGGGGCCGTTGCCGGGCCACGGTGGCCATCGAACATTGGTGCAGTCGGCCCGTATCACAAGGATGCGCGATATTGCAAAGGCCTTGGACACCCATTTCGAAGCTTTTCGAGCGGGGCGCGGCCAACGAAAGTTGGACCGATGAGGCAAGGATGCAAAGATACCCTTAGGAAGGTCGCCCATCCTTACTATACTGGTTGACTGCATCACAGCTCGGTCACAGCGCGATTTCCCTCTACTTCGGGCTCTCGGGGCCTTTTGTCGGGCGCCGTGGCCATCAAGCATTGGTACACAGTGGGGCCCACCCTGTGAGGCAACGAGCGGTTCGGTGGATCGCAGGGTGTCTGGCGCAACCTATGGCAAACCTGGTGTAGCAACGGTCAAGCGGAGTGTCTGACGCAACCTGATGGCGCAACCTACGGTGCGCCCTGTGGCACATCGACTGGGGCAGCGCGCGATTCGGTTGCCCACGGGGTGTCGGGCGGAAAGTATGGTGCAGCCTGTGACGCAACCACTGAGGCAACGCAGGCGTAAGTTCCCCGCACGATGCCTGGCATGAGGCGTGGTGCATCAT